GAAATCATGAGTGTTTACCTAATACAAAGTAAACTCATCAGAGAAAAAACCTAAACACAAAAACAATCTACTTTACCAGTTCTATTTAAGAAAATAAGAAAGAAAAGAGAGAAGTTATTACAAAGAAGCCTTCTGATCCTGAACCTGTAGCATCAACTTCAACCTCATCAAAGAACCAGAAACAACCCCTGCTAGCCCCAAAGATGACAGCTCTGATGACCCCTTTACTCCTATGAGTGCAGTACAGATATTACTTTTGCAGTAAAATGCTTTAACCATGCTTATGTCTTTTCTGTTCAATGTAAAATACCATGTACAATACAGTTAAGTACAGTAACATACAAAAATGTAATTGTCTTTTTCTTTAATATTAGTATGCAGGTTTTCAAGAAATAATAATAAATATTGTATTTATTATTTTATTTTTTTACTGTACAGTAAAATACCTTCCCATGAATTTTATCTTTTTCTTGATTTAAAATACACTATACAGTACAATGTAAAATAAAATGCAGTTTTCTTAATTTTTTTTTCATTTATGTATGACTATAATATGTCCACCCAAAATTTGGCAAACTTCAACATCCGGTCAGGCTCAGGTCCCAAGATTGCTGGATTTGGGAGGGGCAACTGTATTTAATAATACTGATTGGAATCATTCTTGTCTGGTTTTAGATTTTTTATTTATTCACTGAAATATCTTTTATTCATTTTGGTTTGAGTTCAAAGTTTTCATGTAAGTTGCATAGTTAAAAGATGCAAGTTGGTTAAACTGAAGGTACACTCAAAACGTTTAGATCTTGGTATAATGTAGTTTAGTATTTCTAGCACCAAATTTCAACCTAAAATTTAGACATTCTGCTGATGAAGAACAGTATACCAAGCACCACCAAGTTCTTACTTTAAGATATTTTGAGCACATTGACCATATCTTACTTAGTAACACAACCACATGAAATAGAATACAAGAAACTTACAGATTTTTTACTTGTGTTTTGGATCATGTAATGAAAAATAATGTTGCCCCATTCAATTTTTTATAAAACTCAAAACAAATATGCCAAAGATTAAAATAGTCAGTTATATCAGTTCCATTTGAAGATATTTTTTTTTGTTACATAAATCAGGTTTGTTGTTAGAAACTTATACAATTGTACTTAGATATAAGGTACTTCAGACAGCATTGCAGTTTTGACAATTTCTGGAAAATTTAAGGTTTCTAAAATGTTGTGAGAGTACAACTAGAGAGGGGATTGTTAACTTGGAACACAGAGAGCACAATATTTTCTTCAAAAGACAAAAAAGAAAACTGTTTTTGATAAACAAATATTTAAGTTATAGTAAAAATATATTTTTATGACAACCACAATTTAAACTTCTGTTGCATAGCATCATTACTTGTCATTACTTTAACCATTTCCTTTCATTCTCTGCTGTATATAATAATTAGTTTTTTTTAATTTTCTAAGGCATAAAATTAAGGTTGTGTATGACCATTGTACTTCAAAATCTATTTGATATACATCAACTGACTCCACTTATTTCTATCTAAAATACAAGTGGATATGCATTTATTAATATTTTGATCAAAGTTTTATTAAAAATGTTTTACAGACTTCACGTTGGGTATAATTACAAAACGCTGTAGCACAGAAATTTATTTGTGTCTGATTTTATATTTAAAAATATCTATGTACACATATATAAATGCCTCTTGCTAGTTTGCTTGTTTCTCCAAAACACTTATTTTTTAACTAATTTTCTTTATATGGTCAAATAGCTTCAATTCCTGACTTTCTGATAATTTTAAAATAAGTCACTTTTGTCCCCATAAATATGTTCAGTGTTTGTTCGTTTGAAGTTACACACAAAGCGACACAATGGGCTATTTGTGCTCTACTGTGATATGTTCAAGGCTGCTTTATGCATTGAAAATACATACAATAGTGTGCAAAATTTATTAGAACAGTTGTTCCTACTGGCCAGTCTGTGGATTGGTGATGGTACATAGCGAGATTTCAGTTGACCACAAGACAGTTGACAATTTTTTTTTAAATATAGCTACTGAAATCTATTGTTTTTCAATGTATGATAAAATACTTTTAAAAAGTTGACATTGTGTGAAAAGTCTGTGAAATTTTGGGATTAAAACTAACTGGGTCCTCAAATGGAAAAACTATATATTTTACTTATTTTGATACTCTTCCAACTTCTTAAACTACATTGATTTTATTTCATAGTCACATTGGGTATTCTGATACCTGGAATTTCTTGTAAATGTCCAATATTTACTTCACAGTAGATGGTGAGAAGCAGAGGTCTTTTGTACTTTTTTATACTTCAACAAGTATCATTTAAAGATTTGACATGACTCTGTCAAAGGGTGTTAATTTTCCATGTTTTGGCACTTTAATTTCAACATCACTCTATATTAGCTGCACTGGATGATGTTTTTGAAAAAAAAGAAGCACAATAATTCTTTATGTACCTACATGTAAAGCACAGATTATGAAAATCTTGCATCTTTGTCAGTGATGGCTGGTACAAAAACTAAAGACAAGTTGTTTTTCCCTTAAAATTTTTAAATCAGTTAAATGTGCAGCATAAATAGTCATGGATAAAGTTAAGAAATGAAACAGAACATCACAGTTTCCTGTGTGTTTTATGTTTAGGATAAGGCATTCCTTCTATCATATTTCATGGACTCTTTGGCAAACATATACACACCATTTGGAACCATTAAGCTCAAATTTGGACCCTCTGTACAAAGCAACTTTTACACTGTTCCAAACACTGGGATACGTTTTTTTTTGTTTTGTTTTTTTGTTCAAAATATATTTATGTAGTAATGTGTTTCTTCCTGTTGCTCTTTCTCAATGGTCACATTCTTTAAGCACTTTTGATACTGTACTCTTTGAAACTTTATCTGTGTATGGCTTATTAATGCCATCAGCAAGGGTTTTCAGTTTTCAATGAGTTGATTTTTAGGTACCTAAAATCTCTTTCAGTGAATTTTTTCCTCTGCCTTGTGGTACAATATCTGTTGGCCATCTTCACAGAACCGATGGAATCGTGGATCAACATAAATACCACAGTATACTAGTCTATCATGTTAAATGGACTGAATCTCATACTTCAGGAAGATAATAAACACACACACACACACATACATGCTTCCAAGAAATATTGAGCTTATTTGGCAAAGATTAATTTTATGGGGTTAACTGGACTTCATGCATGACAAAAGTACCATCTCTACCAAAGAAAGCTTCTGGACACAATTTCAAGAAGAATGGAATGAAATTAATCAAGAATCTTTTAGAGAATACACAGACACAATGCCACAAAGATTCCAAGTTGTTACTGATGCCCAAGGTGGCCATACTAAATATTAACATTAGAGAGACTTAATATATTAATGTGTACTAATTTTGTAATAGTTTTCTGTAAGATTAATCTGTATGTTCAATAGCTTTTTATTGACTATTTTGTGTATTACACTCATAAAATGACAACTGTCGAGGCATTCTAGTAAATTTGCAAACTATTGTATGTCCATGTGAATAAATTATTTTAAGTTAAGTAATACAATGTTCACCTGACCCTAGGACTTGAAACTAACTTTTTGGGGGCACAGGTAAATGTTTTCCAGTTACCTTAAATGTTACTCTGGCAAAAAGTTTGTTTGTAGTTACGCACAAAGTACCACAATGGACTAACTGCACTGTGCTCACCACGAGTATTGAAACTTGGTTTTTAGTGTTATAAGCCTTTAAGACTTATAGCTGAGCCACTGGGGAGACCAGGCAAAATGAAAACAAAAAAAACAAAAACAGTGAAACAATTGAATCACAAGTTGCTTTCACTTAGTGGATATAACTAACCAGCTGATAAGAATTACCAGGAACAATTGCATTTTTCATTTCTTGTTTTTAATATGCCATCATATTTTAGATTATGTTTTGGTTTGTTTTGAATTTCTCGCAAAGCTACTCGAGGGCTATCTGCACTAGCCATCCTTAACAGTGATAGACTAGAGGGAAGGCAGCTATTCAACACCACCCACCACCAACTCTTGGGTTACTCTTTTACCAAGGAACAGTGGGATTGACCATCACATTATAATACCCCCACAGCTGAAAGGGTGAGCATGTTCGGTTATGAGATTCGAGCCTGCAACCAACAGATTACGAGTCAAGCATCATAACAAAACCATCAGGTCATGTCAGGCTTATTATGTTTGTAATAATAATATAATTTCCTACAATGAAAATAAGAATATAGTATAAAACAAAAAGTGAAAATTGCTTGATTGCACATTTTTTTACTTGCTATTTTAAACTTGTGGAATCCCACTGAAAGATTCACAACACTCTACTAGAAAAGGCTTATTAATAAATTATTATAATACAGTTTCCACTGTAAAGGTTGTGTTTTTAACCAGGTCTTTTAATAATTTTGACCACTGTTTACAACTGGTTTAATCATTCATAATCATGCATGGAATATCAACTGGCTAAAAAATACCAACGCACCATGATGGTCTTTGGCTAAACACTAGAGCTTGTTGGTTTGTCAGCTAGCCACCACTAATTTTGAGCTTTGCCCAAAAACTTGGCACTCAATAATTTATATGAAGTCTAGTCTTTCATGCTTCCTCACTGTAATGCAAGCAGTAAAACTAAAATGTATTTCAGTAAAATTATAATTCATTATTTTTGGGAAAAAAAAACTTTTGACATCAAACTCACATGTTAACACTTTAAACTAAGGATGTGAAAAAGATCAGGGAATAAACTAATTATTTATCTTTTTTGAAAAAATATATGAAACCCAATGAGCCCACATCTTGGCACAGAGAAAGGCAAATAATGTGGAGCTAAACGAACCACTGTTCATGTTGAAGATGACAAGTGCAGAGGGGGAAAACGAAGCAAGTATTTTAGTAAACAAAGTTTCATTGACAGTGTGACACATGCAAATGAAGAAGTTTCGCAGAATAACTTACCAGTTACTGTATTTTAAAGTTGAATCATCAGTACATAATGGTAAATCAGAGTATCATACTTGACTGAGAAACTTCCTACCTGACAGAATAAAGTGTGGACACCCTGTATTACAATGTCCAAGTATCCCATCAATTTTATGTTTAATATGTACATTTTATTTTCTTTATCAATATCTACTGAAATGATTGAAATCAAAAATGACATAACACAACAGTCATGGCCATGTGATGGGATTATGTTTCTTCTTTTTTGGTGGACTCTCATTAGAGGACTCGTCTGATAAGGACTACAGGAAAAAAAAAGAGATTAATAAATTAGTATTCTGAATAAGATACAATGCATATACTTCACAATATCATGAAAAACAAGTTAAACACAAGAAATGTCCAAATACTAGGATAAGTTAAATTTTCAAAGTGTTGGAAATATACTAGAAAGCATAAAACAAAGAGAAATCAAATACAATGATAGAAGTTAACATTTTCCTGAACTGAAGGTGTATTTTCGATAATACTTACCTCCGCTGACAGTATAGCTATTTCTTGATCTCCAGGGTTTCCACTCTTTGCCCATCTAAGCATTGAAAACACTTACTCCAGTCTTCTATACCCCACTCAAATGCCCTTGGTAAATTCTAATTTGCAAAATTCTCCACCAACTTCTGTGTGCCCTCTTTCTAAGTACTGTATATGAGCACCTCATTCAGATAATGTAACATAAGCTGGCTTTTGGTGGGGAGGTAGGGCGGGAAAGTGTCAGCAGAGGTAAGTATTATTGGAAATACATTTTCAGTTTTGGAAAATGTTAACTTCCAAAACATACTTACCTTCATTGACACTATAGTTAGAATCCCACATTAAGAAGGTGGAAGGGCTGGTGCAGGCATGAACCATACAGAAAGCATCTGTATAGAACAGGAATGTACTAAGATAAAGATGGTACAAGAGTGGGGGAACTGCACTACATCCAGAACAGGTATGCTCTTCACCTGGAACTCAGTTCTTATATCAAAGGTAGAATAGAATATGAGTAATCGTCAGTATAGGCCAGCCCCAACCAGATAGCTGAGGTTCCACAACTTGTGGTTGGAATTAAGGGGTTGTGGTACATATATCTCACGTTGGTGGCGAGGGCTATTGGTCTGCAAGATTATATATACTATTAATTGGATCCCAACCTGTAAACATAGAGTGATGAGTTTCGTACTACCGGAATCATGTCGAGAAAGTAAGCAACACCAAAGTGAACAAACTTTCTCCTCCACCTGAAGAAGTCCAAAAGGCAACACCCCAGGATCGGAATGACGGGATTGTGTATGCCGTACTCAACCAAAAACCAGAACTCATCCAGTCTGGAATTATGAACATTCATCCTCATTCCCCAACCAAGTGGACAAGGAGTATTCCGCTTGCCCCTGGAATTATGGAAAGGATGTGGAACCTGTGCTCATAATGCAGCAGTAAACTAAATGTATTCAGTAAATTATAATTACATTATTTTAGGAAAAAAAACT